TGACCCTCTTCCTCCCTCAATTGGTAGAAACTCTTATTGGGATTATTCCTGCATTGGTGCCGTAAACTGACATCCACATTTTATTTCCAATGAAGGCAATGAATTCTGTGAATTCAGTCACAAGGAGATCAAACTCCTTTCTATTAGGTTGGAAGCCAGGAGGCATCAAAAGGCACAACTGCTGTGACAATCCCTGCTGACCCTTCCTCTCCACATTGGGCTCAGTTCTGCAGCTCAGGCTACCATAAAATCAAAACGAAAAACAGGCCCCCTCTTACTTCCCTGCTTCAGTTTGAACCAATGCACACCAAGCACAGCTCAGCACTAGGTGGTTTGTCTGGCAAACTTTGGCCCCTGCTGTAAATCCAGCTCACAAGCAGCTAACTGATGGATGAAACGGGCACCATCTTTTGTTTCATCTCCTGTTACCCAAGGGCTGAAGGAAAATCCCCGTGCAATTATATTAAATCACACTCGGAGCGAGCCAGTGGGCTTCTTCTCTGTTGGAAAAACAGGGCTGCCTTTTGTATTTATTAGTGAGGGGCTCACACTTGCTGCCAGTGAGGGGTGGGGGGTGTGGATTTCAGGACTGGGTCCCACAGGTCTGGTTTGTACCTAGAGCAATTCTGCTGAAACCAAGGAAATTACGGGCAGGAGGAACTTGATGCAAGGTGCTTATTTAATGACAACCTGTCAGTAACTCTTGAAGTGCAGGCTGTCTCTCAGCCCCCTGCCAGCCCCCATGCAGTAGCCACCAATTCAGTGCCCTCTTTGCTTTGGAAAGTCTGAGCTGAGATGCTATTGAGAAGCCAGGAAACTGCTGATTCTTGAATAGCCCAAATGGCTTTTAGCACAGCAAAGCTGTGTGAGAGCTACTGCCGCTAAGGAGATCTTCATCCATTCTCTGCCTTGTTTAACCTTTTGTTAGGGCAGCATTTGGATCTGCATGGATCATGCTCTTTATTGTATTCTTATTTATCTGGTTCTGAGGGAGCTGGGTAGGGGTAGCAAGATCCCCCAGTAGCTTGTATACCTGAGGGCTTTTGTTCCTCCTCCATTACTTCATTTGAACTGCTTGCGAGTGACCACAGTGTTATATCTTACCCCGTGTAATTTGCTTGAGGTATACTTGTGTTACTTCTGCAAGCTCTCCTCTCATAAGCCTGAACTTTTTTTGGATCTTGTTTCTTGATCCAAAGTCCTTAAGCCAAATTCTGTTCCTGGTTACAGTGATTTAAATCCAGAGTAACTCCACCCTTTTCAATAGACTAGTGCTGGAGTGGAGTGACGACACTGAGGAGCAGAATTTGTCCTGTATTGAAACTGCCATTTACCTAATCTTTTTTCTGCGTAAGTGAATGTGGGACTTTTTTTATCTCGGCCTGGCAGAGGGCAACTGAAAGCATTTAATGATGAAGCCATACACGATTATTCCAATATATGAGCCTGTATTATATATGCACAGCACAGATGACGAATGAATGAATGAATGGGTCTACAATGCCCAGACAGCAGGGAAATGATATGCATTCTATAAACTGCATCGAAGAGCGTTAAATGGTTCAGTGCAACATTAGCAGCAATCAGATGCTGCAAATAGTCTCATATGGAGAGCCAAGCTGGGGAAAGAGAATCAATGAGGCAAATGAAGCATAAATCAGATCGTGCCCTGCTCTGCTAGCACCTTTGCAGCAGTAGAAGTAGCAGTGTCATGGGGAAAATGAGCATGCTAATGGGAGAAAGAAATGGACCAGAACTGTGATTGGTTTTGGTGACTTTAGGGTTATCACTGTGTTGGACTAGGCTGTGAGAGATCTCAGCCTGGATCCCTGAACTATACAACAGGAAATGTTGGGGTAACTGCTGCTGAGTGCATCAGCAGGACTGAAGAGAGAGGAGGGAGATGATGGGGGGTGGGGGGAGGCATCTGGAGATGATGCTGTGAATATGAGTCGCCCATGCAGACATAGGCTTGGTAATGGGGATTGAGGAAAGAAAGGACTGTTATTTGCTGATCTTGACTTGAACAAATGTCAGCGATGAAGGGATATGTTTTTAACATGTCACCCAGGAGCTGGACTGACAAAGACTACTGTTTGCTTACAAGGCTTGTGTTCACAAATGCAGTATTGTCCTTCACAGCAAAAAAGCCAAGGAAGCCAAGGAAAGGATGATGTGAAGAACTAGCTGTGGTCCTCTCTCAACAAATAATACCACTGAAACATGGAGATCCCATACCCAGAGTCACTAGTGATGGGAGGCCAAGAGCCCCCATATATAATTCAGCAGGTTTTTAAGAAATAAAGTGCACATGTATTATTTGAAATGGGTGTAAGGGACACATTAAATATAGAACCTGTAGGGCAAACATAGGGTGACAAATAGAAGAACAATGAAGGGGCTAAGATTCCTAAGTGGCACAATCCAAGCCAACATTTTTGTATGAGAATAAAAATCTCTCCTGGAACTTGGAAATGTCTTTTGACAATATTCATTAAAACAAAAAAAAAATTATTTTATCCTCCAGTAAACTCCAGTTCTGGACATTTGGCCTTGGTATCAAAGAAAAATCTTTTAACCACGTAAAAGCTTCAGTTGAAGGCAGCAAAGCAGAGCCTGGGATTAGCTGTGAGAATGCTTTGGAAAATGAAATGGTACATTTTCAGTATTCTTCTTTCACATCAGGACAGCTGCTCTTGTGCCCTTAAGACTGCCTGTTTAAGGGTCAGCCAACTCTCCCTGTCTCCTAGATTCCCTTTTTCTTAGTCTTGTCCAACCACAGGTTCTCCAAGTCTGAGAGAGAGCCTGTTTTTCTGAAATCCTGTATTTTTATTTTGCTGGTCTCCTTCTGCTGTGTCTGTCTTTAAGCTCAAGAAAAGCTTCCTCCCATCTGGTTTCTACAGCATCTGTACCAAAAAATGTTCCCACACACTCCATAAAACTTACTTAACTGCCTGTTAATTGCTGCGTTATCCTCCTAGCAGTAATGTCGAGGAATGTTGTTTATAGATCTAGATCTAGATCAAGATATGACTTCCTTATTATGACTCCTCATGAGAGCGGGGAGGAAAGGTTATTAAAAGAGGGCATTTGCTAGAAAAGCATTAATCAATTTGTTGCATCATAATAATGAAAAGAATCAGTGCCTGCTTCTGGGTTTGTTGGTAATGGGGGTTGTTAGAATGAGGTAGTACTCTGTGTGCATGTATTAGCAACACACACACACACACACACACACACACACACACACACACACACACACACACACACACACGTCTTTAACAATGTTTATACACACACATATATGCATTGGTAATATATAAACAACAGTGGGGAGGGTGTATGCACCCCCCATGTTGTTTGTGTGTGCACGCGTGTGGTCGTGTGTATAAATGTTGCTAATACGCACATGCCCACATACCTCATTCCAACAAACCCTGTGTATAACAACCCCCATTTCCAACAAACCCAGAAGCAAGCACTGATTTTTTTCATTATTATGATGGAGCAAGTTGACTAATGCTTTTCTAGCAAATGCCCTCTTTTAATAAATTTTTCCCCTGCTCTCATGAGGTGTCATAGTAAGGAGGGCATATTTATTCTTGTACATCTAGAGAATTCATGGTGGTATAAAAAGTCAGGGAAAAGTGTTTGCCCTCCAGCCCATGGTATGAGCAGCCTTTCCTGCTCATACCAACCTGCACATCTCTTCTCTGAATGGAATGATGATTATTTCCTAGCAAAGACTGGGGGTGAGAGAAGATAGTGCAACAAGGTGCTGGGGCTGAGCAGTGCCTCTGAGCTGTTCCTCCAGGGAGCCATGGGGAAGGGTTACTTAACCTAGGGGGAAAAAAGAAGAGCTGCAGAACTGACAGATACTCATTCAGTCAGGGTGGGATTTTCAAAAGGTCTCGGCTCTGTCCTGACTCTGGTGCTAATAAACTCACCAGTTAAACTTTCACCAGTCTGTGAATTAAACCAGTGCCGAGTGCGTTGAGAAACCCAGTAAAAGCACTTTAGAGTGAAAATTACTTCCCACTCCCTGATGGACCTCTTTGCACTGCCAGGCTGGTTGGGCATTGGGCTCAGTGCCACATGTAGCTCTCAACACAAGCCAGCCAGTATCTTTCCACTGAATCCTTCCAGCTTCTACTTGATTTCCTTCCTGTTGCAGCTTTGCATTAGTTCTAAGGCCACTGCCCATTGCTGAGAGGTCTTTGCCCCCAGCACCCACACATTAATGAGGATTGGGAGGAGGACCTGCACAATGAAGGGTTCTCTTCAAGTCATAGCCAGGCATAGTGCGCCAGTTCTCCCGAGGGACAGGATTTCTCAGCCACTGGCAGATGTTGGATCCACATGAGCTTTGCTTGCTTGAAGCCCAGGATGGAGTAATGCAGCAGTGGCTTTACACCTCATTTTCCCCTTTTCCCTTTATTCTGGGGTTGACTGGGAGACAGGTTTACCCAGGCACAAGATGAAGCAGCCTCAGGGCTATTGTAACTTGTGCCACTTGGTGATGGCTCCCCAAGAAATATGACAGGACTGCTATTTTGTGAGCATATCCCATCCCTCCAAAACACCTCCCACAGTGCACCCACTCTGCTGGGGTATAGGAGGAGAGGTGGTGCAGAGGCAGCTGTAGATTCTATGCTACTTGGAGGTCCCTTCTCACCAGAGACCACTGGGTAAGTTAGGTATACAGCCCTGCAGAGGTGTATGAGGCAGTCAGGCTATGGACCCAAGTGCACCTATGTCATATCTGAGAAATATATTAGCTCTGACTGCAGTTACTTCGCCTGTACTTAGAGCCTGGACAGGGACCTGCCTACCTTGGGTTTGTGGTTAATCCATGGCTAGACCAGGAGATATGTCATTGATGCATTTCAAATTGCTATGGTGTTGCCTTCCAGACAGCTGTCATGTAGCACCAACAACACACCCTACTGTGGCCCAAAGGGGGGTCTTAGACCACTAACTGCCATGTATTGTCTCCTCAGTTTTGTAGCACCTCAAGGATGACCAGAAAGATCTTCACCAACACCAGAGAGAGGTGGAGGCAGCAGAATGTCAACAGCGCCTTCGCCAAACTGAGGAAGCTCATCCCCACCCACCCTCCGGACAAGAAACTCAGTAAGAATGAGACGCTGCGCTTGGCTATGAGGTATATCAACTTCCTCGTCAAGGTCCTGGGGGAGCAAGGCCTGCAGCAGACCGCAGTGACTGCTCGGGGGAGCTTGTTGGGGCTGTTCCAGCAAGCCCCTCATTTGCAGGGCATGGAGGAACTGACTCTGATTGAAGACTGTGGCGTCCCTTCACCCAGCACAAGCAGCAATATCCCAGAGTGCTGGTCAGAGACATCGTCTCCCTAGCAGGTTAGGACTGCTACAGTCCTGGTGTTAGTCTGATAGTGCCCTCTGCATAATTTGTGGATCATTTCCCTGTGTACAGTATTTATTTGTTTATCCCAGTGCTGGTTTTATTCCATATATTTTTATTTGACAGGGAAGGCGGAAGAATGATTCCTCGGTAGGACAGTGGCTTGGATGGCTGAGTAGGGAATGCTCAACCCTAGGATCTCACAATGGTCCTTTGTTGTGATTTCACAGATTTTGAGGCTGGTGTGATCAGATCTCCTGTATAACATAGGTCATAACATTTCCCTTGTTGATTTTTGCAGTGGAAGGGATTGTTCTTCCCTGCAACGTGAGGAACTGTTCTGGAGGGCAATAGTTCCTGGCTGCACTAGAGTTCTTCAGTTAGAGAGATGTCCAGTCTTGACCAGAAGGATCCAAGGGGCAGATAGATAATATACCTCCTCTCTCTCAGCCCACAGTTCTCATGGTTTTTATCTTTCTTGTTAAGAATTTACATCTTATTTCTGGCTTGAGTTTTTCCAACTTGCAACTAACACCATTGAGATTTGCTTTGTTTACTAAACCAAAAGGCTTCCTGACATACAAAGAAACACAACTGAATAACATAAAACAGCCCAAACTCACTAAGGAATTAAAGTGAAAACACTGGCCCTGAATGAAAGAGGGAACATTCACAGTTAAGTTTCAGCAGGCATTGTGGTGAAAGAGGCACAGGCAAATCCACACACAGCAGTGGAAGCCAGAGGCAGGAGAAAGGTGCTAAAGGAACCATCATTATTCTGATCCCCTTCAGCACCTGTAGGCCCCATCTGTGCCTCACTGCAGAGGTTTAGGCAGCACTGCCATGGAAATGCGCCCAACCTATTCCTCCCTCCGTGTACTTTGGATGCAGAAAAAATATCACGTGACCACTTTTTGGCATGTACCCAGGACCTACCCAGCACCACTCAGTCTTGGCTATATTCATAAGAACTGTGCTGGGCACTCCAGTGGCAGCTAGGTGATCTTTTTCTGGCCCGTGGTTCATGCAAAGTGGGAGTGAGTGGGCAGGGTGTATGGTTGGACCCCCCTAACTCCATTTGACCTGGTATACACATGCCCATTGTAACACGTCTGTGCCCCAGGGGTGGCTGTGATGCCACCTGGTAGCCATACGGTTCCTACTGTGCTCTCTTTCTAAGGTACACTCCCTTTGCTTTTGCCTGCCCCATCTTGATATTTTTGCATGTAGAAAGGGAGGCTGCCAACAGATCTTAGAGTGAGTCTTGGTCCTGCCAGCAGGTCCCCCTCTCTTGAACACTGCTGATCCCAAAAAATCCTTCTTGTTAGGTGGGCCCTCTGGGCCCTAGGGCACCCAATGCCTTATGGGCTATTCATGACCTCTAACCTTCCCTACATCTATGCCCAATCCTTGCAGATTTTATTCAATACCATTCTGTCCCTTGTAGAGGCCTCAGCCTCCCTTTTCTCTGGCTGCAAGCCGTCAGCCCTGGCCCAATGACCTGGGTCTGGCCCTCTTGGCTTCAGCCCTGCCAGTCACCAGTATCTCTGGGCTGTTGACCCTTGTATCTCTCTCTTTGGGCCCATGGCCCCTATCTCATTCTCTGGACCCCTGGCCCTGGTTCTCATTCCCTGGACCCCTGGCCCTACTTTCTGCCCCTCTCAGGGTCCCTAACCCTGGTTCACTCTGCTTGGTCACTGGGCCCCTAGCCCTGTCTCCACTACTTTACCGATTGTGAGCCCCATCCCTGCTGGGCTCCATGCTGTCGTGTGCCCTTCAGGCACAATTGGGAACTCCACCTCCCTAATAGTCCCAAACCCAAACCACTGGTACAAATTCAAATGCAAAACATAAGCCCTCTGACTATAACTAAACTTTAGCACCCGGCTGTATACCAAACTCCTACCCAGCATTGGGTCCTAACCCCTTGCTAGCCTCAGCCCTTTTACTTGCTGTCTCTAGGCATAGCAGGATCTCAGTCAATCTCCCAGCAACAAGTGTTTCATTGCAGAGCTTTTCCTTCTTTGCCCACCAGGGCCAGGACTGACTGCCCTAACTCTGGCCCTGGGGTGTTATGCCTCCTAGGCCCTGGCCTCTGGCCAGGTGGTTTCCCCCAGCTACCTACAGATGTTTCCCAATTAGGCTTTTTGACTGGTATCCAAGGCAGCCTGCTGCTACTAGTCTAGCCATTGCAGCAGTACCTTGTCTACTATGCAGGGTTCTGCCTTACAGTACCACGACTGAGCAGCTAGCTCTGCAATAAGCACTCTATTGCCCATGCAGGCTCTGCCTTATTGTACTGCTGCAGATGCTCCCTCTGCAATAGGCACTCCCAGCCTATAAATCCCCATGGACCTGTTCTCCTGCAGCCTATAATGAGCAGCCTTCTCCACCTGAAGTTCTCCCTCTTGCTGTTTTCTCCCTTAAAGTAACAGGAGCCCTAGGCTCCCTGTTACACCATGAAGAGGTTGTTCCTTGCCCATAATACCAAGGCTCCAAGAGGCAAAAGACAAACTTATGCACAAGGCCTGAGAGAGGCCCCCAGGTGCTGGTATTCAGGCACCAGCCTGTTCCTGTTTGCAATAGCCTGTGTGGGACACCAGAGTAGGGGCTCTGTGAGGCTGTTGCAGACAAAATGCCAGTCCACCTTCACTCTGTTTTTCAACGTGTGTAAGTACCTATTTGGTATGTTCCCAGAATGAGGTCTCCTATGATCATGGCTGTAGCATTTTAGACTTGTACGTATTGCTACAAGACTATCTGAGCCCATGCTTATTTCATAAGGGTGTATGTTACTAGCAGAGCTAGGAGTATGGGGTGGGGTCCTGTCTTAAGCAGTATCCAGTTGAGAAGTCCATCTCAGGTTGGATATCCAACAGCTTGAATGGAGTTACACTGGGGATAAATGTGGCCAAGCATGTCTAAACACAAAGGCATGTTGGTGCTATTCTGTCCATCAGCCAATTGTTACCCTTGGAAATCTTTTCCTTATCAACAAGAAAATCAAAATGCATTTGTCCTTTGAATATAATATTGTGTCATGGAAAGGCAAAAAAAATGCCTGGCAATAATGTAACTGAAATGCTTATTGTTATTTATATATTGGGAAAAAAAAAGCTCCATATTCTTGCTTCAGGTTTCTTTTCATTTAGGATGTACCTATTCTGATATACGGCATGTGTGTGACTAGATCTATCTACCAAAGATTTTTTGTCAGGACATCTCTTTGTGCTTTGTGATTTCTTATCTGTATGGCTATGAACAAATATGATGTAACATCACATTTTGTGATATACTATGTTATTTAATGGCTAATATATTCAAAATAAATTATTTAAGAAACACAACTCTTTTCATTTGTACTTTTCTACAATTCATTCTTAACTTTGAAAAATATCTGGCAGTTGATATCAAATGATAAAGCAGAATAAATGTTAGCACAAGGATAATTTTGATACCTAGCCTTTACGTGCTACCTTTGATCTTATGGACATTACTTACAAACATCAGATGTTCCAAAAATATACTTTGTCCAGAGTTTAAATGACATTTCAATATTTAGAAAACATTGGCCAGTTTTGTGATTAGTCAAAAGAAAAATGGATATCAGGAAAAATGTGTTGTGAAATTGTGTTGAATTTTTTTCACACACATTTCACAGTTTACAAGATTTCAACCTACTCCATTTTAAGAGCTATGGATGGTCTCAAACTAACATATTGCCCAGATCTGGATTCTAAATTCCTCCATATGTGGGGGTGTTCAGGTAGGGGCTATTTTGCAAAATTATGACTGGACCCAAGGCTAAAATTTAAAATAACCCCAAAGCTTAGTGATTTTTAGGATCCAGAGTTTTTGACTTACCAACCCTTTGGGAACAGTCTAGCCTCCAGGAGGATGCTGGCTGGGATCTTGAAGGCCCGAGCTGGTGGGACATTATGATGAAGATGATGTGGGGGTCTCCACACACTGCAAGGGCAGGGGAAATTAATTTGAGCCTCTTACCTTGAAATTACTCTAACCTGGCACAGGAATGGAAGAAACAAGGACTTGGGCTCATTGACTTCCATGGGAGACATGCCTGAGAGAAAGTGTGCGCCAAGTGATTCTGGACTAAGGAGACCTCTAGCCTAAAGCTAAAGCTTATCTGCCCAAACACCCCTTAAAATCATCACCTCACTGTAAAGGGCCTCAATGCAAGGGAGAATAAGAGTTTTGGAGCCCCTGGGAGCTTCCCAGTGGAAATCAACAGAGCAGAGTGAGAGTTATGTTACTGCTACTTAGTTAAAGTGTCTATCTAGTAAGGATGAGCTTTTGCAGTTGTGCCCAATATCTAGTTGAACAGGAAGGCATTTTTGATGAAGCACCAGGCTGTGATTCAGTAGGTACGGGCTCAGTCACACGTGGGTAAGTCATTCACTTTTTCTGGATCTCAGTTCTCCATATGTAAACTAGGGATGGTAACGCTTTCTTTCTCCTATCTTTTGTGTAGTTAATTTAGGCAGGAAACTCATGGTTTTTTATCCTTGGAGCTCAAAGGAGTTCTGTAATTTGATTTAAATGATTACAAGATAAAGTTTGTTTGCCAGCAGAGGTAAAGTTGCCCGTGTATGCCATTCGTGCAGTTACCAACCACAGATGTCCAAGCCAATCCATAACAAAAAGAAGCTTTTCACTGGGTGGAAGACAAAACATATGGTCTTGCTGTCTTTTTCATGAAGCATCCTTCACAGTAGTGGAGATGTTGTGGCATGTTTTGTGTGTTTAACACAAGGCCCGTTGCTAAACAGCTCTGTTAGTGATACCGACTATAAGGTGAGGGGAGTTGTACACTGTGTGTATCACTAGGGGAGGGAAAAAAAATCAAAGCGTTCCTTATTCAGTTGGATTAGATTAAAAAAGGAGATAGAATGTGCAATGGAAACTTTTAGGGAAAATAGAGCATGTAACAATGGCAACATATTTTTGGACCCTTATTTCAAGTTATTGCAATAGATCCTTGTAAAGAAGAGGTCATCTAGAACTGGGCATTGCAATATATGCTACAATTGGATTTAAATGGAGATCATCAATCTTGTTGGGAGCTCCAGAAGCAAGAGGACAGGAAAAGTGGTGCGGTTCAGATGCATTTCAGGGAAGTACAATTTGAAAGATGTTTAGTAAATCAGCCTTCTCCACTTAACTTGGTCCCTATGAATGTAGGAATTGTCTGAGATGACCCAATGAAAACAGGGCAGGCAATGCACACTGACTTTTGTTCTTTGAAGGCTAAGTGATAAAAGGATGGGAGAGAATGGACAGTTTAACAGCTGACCTCTGGGTCAGAGGTCACTTTAAAGTCACACCCTTAAATCAAAAAGCCAGAGATAAAGTGGCAGACTCTAAATCCATTGGTTTTCATTCCTGCAAATTGTACTTTTAAAACAGCAGGTGCTGAGGAAGGCATCAAAGGGAGGGATACAGTTAAGAGGAAACCAATCCAATGTGTATTTGGTTCCTAGAAGGGATCTATATTTCTTAGTCTGAAACAGAAGTAACTTACATGTCCACTGCAACATCAAAAGGTCATAGGTATAATTTTCAGAAGCACTCAGTGCTGGCCCAGCCGTACTGCAATGAGAGCAGAGTTAAACTGATGGCAAGTTCTTTTGAAAGTCCCACCCTGCATGAGTGAATACACACCCCTTCACTCCAATGACAGGGGTTATAAATCATGAAACGCAAGATGAAGGCAGGGGCCTTAATCCATCCTAGATTATGACTTGGCGAGATCTTTCTCAAATAGGACCACAGGGCATCTAGCTCCAAGAAGCATGCTGTCCATTGGAAACAGCAATAACTTCCATGGGTATTTCTCCCCAGCTGATCTCCATGGCCATGAACGAGTGTGGCAGAAATAAATGGTTGTTTCCAGTAAATGACCTTGTACAAAAGCTGGGTGAAGTGAGTGAAAGTCTTCCTATAGACTTCAGGAGGGTTTGCACTGGTTCTTGGATTTGGTATCCAATCTATGGGCAATATACTTGTGAGTCACCTATCAGGGTCACACTCTAAAGCCATGGTACAGGCCAAGCAGAGGAAGTGCGTCAATGGGAAATTCTTATCCTGTGTCTTCATAAATGGGTACATTCTGCAGTGATTGTGTAACTCCCATTAATGCGGGGTGGTATGGAAGCATTAAGGAGAATGTGGACTTGGTGTGTCTTAACACTTGGTATTTTTCTGGCTTTCCTAACTCAGACACCATGCCTTTTCCTAGGGGGAAACACCTGGAACTGGGTTTTAGGAGAGACTTCAAGGATGCTAGTGTGGGTGATGAGTAAATTCCATCTGCCTTCCCAAAGCTGGAACCTCTTATTGGGCTCTGTCCTGGCATAACCATCCCACCTGGGTGTGGGCCTCTATCTAACCAGCAGGGCTGTGCAAATTTCAGAAGCCGTTTTTATTTCGGAGGTGTTTCAGGCCGTTTCAGCACCCAAAATACTGAATCTGAATTGAAATGGAAGGCTCAGAAACGTATCCAAAATCAAACAAGGCATCCAAAACGTTTTGAAAATGTTTCGGAAAATTTCAGAGTTTTGGAGCTGGGCTTGCAGGGAAATAGCTGTATGCTGCTGCCCTGCCACGCGACTCAGCTCCGCAGGGAGCAGAGATCCGTTCTGGGGGGTCTCCTCACTGCCGCTGCCTGCCCTATGCTGCCCCAGCAATGCAGGGCTGTGTGGGGCAGACTGTAGCGGTGAGGAGACCCTGCTGAGGATCTCTGCTCCCTGCAGAGCCAGGTTGCATGGCAGGGCCGTGCTGGTTCCTGCTGCGCGATCTGGCTCCGCAGTCAGCAGAGATCTGTGCCGGGGTCTCTTTGCTGCCTCTGTTCCCTGCAGAGCTGAGTCACATGGCAGGGACCAGCAGGCTTTCTCCTTGCTCTGAGCTGCTTCCCTGCCCCATGACCCAGGAGTCTCCTCATGTGCACAGAGGGCAGCAGCCCTCCTCCTCCCCTGGACGAGCCACCCATGGCCCTGTCCTGCTTCCCACTGAGGACCTGCAGCCCCCAGCCCCGCACAGTTGGGTAGCGCTGTGCAAAGCTTCCCTTGCCGCCTGTTCAAAACAGATTGGGAGGAGATTCAGCAGAGCCAAATCTCTGAAACAGATTTGGCTGAAATGAAACAGGACAGTGATCCAAAACACCAAAACGAATCGCTGTCCTCTGAAATCGCCAAATCTGAAACTGAATCGAAACACAGCTGTTTTGAACAGCCCTATGAATCGCCTTGCTGGAAGCTGGCAAGGTGCTGGAGTAAGAAAGAAGAGATTATGTGAGGCTGGCAAGGAAGGAGGAATATGGCATAGGAACGGCAGAATAGATATCAATATGTAGAAGGGTCAAATAAGGGTCTTGGAGGCAGAAGAGCACTTTAGAAGGAGAAAAGAAGGCTAGGAACTGAGAATCTGTACTCTCATCTTCAGCTGCTGAGTGCAAGTCAGAGTAGATGAGCTGAATTTGGTTCTGAGCCTATAGGCAATTTCCACTTGGTTAAATCTCTTTTGCCCTAACCAAAATAATGATTGTATTACCTGTGAACATGGACAGATCCCAGATTTACTAAAGGTGGGGAGCACACTGCACCTGAGGCCATGGGGGGATAAGGATGAGGCATTGCTCGAGCCCCTGGGTCAGCAGGGGGATGGGGGGGACCAACCTTCTGCTGACGTTATTGTCATTGTCCCCTGTTGACCTTGGGTTGTGGAGGAGAGCCCGAACCAGGGGCTGTAGGCAGCAGCTCCATGGGATGCCTGGTCAGAAACAGCAGCAGCAGCACACTTTCCTCCTTCCCGTCCTTGCTCCCTGTGTACCCTCCTTCCCCACACCACTCCCTCACAGTTCCCCACTGGCCAGGAGCAGGTGCTGGAAGGAGGAATTGGCATGCTGCCTCCATTGTCCCTAGCTAAGCCAGGTTCCCCACACAGCTGTGCACAGCTGCTTCCTGCACTGCACAGCAGGAGTGGGTCAAGAGTGGATCCTCCCACGCCAGACAGCCAGGGACACTTGCAGCAGTGTGGGCCAGGTTCCTCTTCAGTGCCTGCTCCCAGGAAGCAGGGGACACTTGATAGGATGGGCAGGGAGGAAAGAAGAGCCCAAGCACCTCTGCTTCTGTCTCCTGCCATGTCTGGTGCCCTGAATGGCCACAGTCTGTGGCTAGAGTGGGGAAGCAGTGGCTTTGGAGCTCCTCCTGCACCCACATCATCAATTGGGGACAGTGGAGGAAGTGGAGTGTGACTGCACCATTGCACTCTTCTGGATCCACCCTTGCCTGTGAGCTAGCAGTAAAGTGTAAAGG